TTCTCTTGGATCCGTAATGTCTGTATATTTCTGCACATAACACTTAATCGTGCCATTTGGTCGCTCTACTACCGCCTGTCCAGTAGGAGAATGGGGAATTCCAGTCACATGACGTATATCCCATTGCCTAATAAACCTTTGAACTGAGGTACTCTTGTAGGCTGGGCCACTGTCCATTTTTAGTGTCTTTGGAACTCCCATAACTGCAAAACAGTTATGAGCATACATCTCTTGCTTTTTCCCCTGGCTGAGGAGTTGCCCAAATAAAATGACTACAGGTATCCACAGTTACGTGAACAAATTTGAGATGGCCAAAGTCTGAAATGTGGGTCACGTCCATTTGCCACAGTTCATTAGACACTAAGCCCTTTGGATTCACTCCTGAACCCAATCCAACACCTTGGTTATGATAACTGCAAGTTGGGCAAGCTCACACTATGGCCTTGGCTTCCTCTAAAGAAATGCCATATTCCCTCATCAGGCCTTTAGCATTTTGATGGAATATAGCGTGCGTTTCTCTTGCTCTTGTATGTTGGGACAAGGGTGCCTGCTGACCTATTGCTATCAGACGGTCTGCCCTAGCATTCCTTTCCCCAAGTCCAATTTCCCATTGATGACTTTGAATATGGATAACTGAATATGAGTCACTTCTTTGACGTACAGTGCGTTGCAATTGACATAACAGTTCAAATAAGCCTCTATTTTGTACATCCTTAATATCGGCATCTTCTATCCTCTGTGCTACACCTGCCACATAGAGCTAGTCAGTAACAATATTCAGAGGTTCTTGGAAGGTTACCATTGATCAAACTACTGCTAACAGTTCTAAAGTTTGGAGGGTATCTGTAACTTCTGCCATTAAGATTTGATGATGCCATTCCTTGTTTCTCATCCAAGCCACCGCTGCAGTCCTGGAGCATTTTCCTGCGTCCGTGAAAATGGTCACTGCATCCTTAATTGGCTGCTTAGTGTATTTCGGCTTTTCTATCCATCCTTGATTACTCATCCAGGCTAACTTTGGGTCTGATAGTGAGTCAATCCGTATTGGTGCACCTGCACTCAACAGGGCCTCCTGTAGACTAACGGAGTTTCGAAGATACCAATCTAAGGTATCTCTCTTCATGGGTATCCTTATTAATCTAGGCTCTTCTCTAGTTACTTGCAGTATTTGAGCACGACCACGCTTAATTAGCTGTGCCAGAATCTCGATTTTCTGAATTAAAGTTGTCCGTTGTTGTAAAGGAGGCGCAAGCCACTCCAAAACCCATACCTCCCCCATTTTCTTTAAATGCTGAGTGAGAGCACCTAATAAGAACTTAATGCCCAAAAGAATAGTGAGATCAATCGGGAGAGTTGGGTCACGCCGTCTAACATAGCGGGTTGTGAGTGAGTTGGCAATATCGCGTTTTGTAGCATGCTGTTTTGGCATAGGGCATACTGGCTGCGTAGGGTCTGGACCCTTCAGTAGGGGTCTTAGTACATCCAGAGTCTCATTGGGAATGCCAATTACTGGTCGAAGCCATTGCAGATCACCTAGCAGCCGTTGGGCATCATTTACAGTTCTGATGTCAAGGTGCAGTTGCAGTTTCTGAGGGGTGATCTGGCGTTCTTCAACTGTCCATCCCAAATATTTCCACGGGCTGGAGTCTTGCACCTTTTCAGGTGTAATTGTTAGTCCCCACTCTTCAAGCTGTTTTGTAATACCAGTCTGTTGCTGCAGTGAAAAAGGGTTCTCCTGTGCAAACAAGATATCATCCATATAATGATAGATAATTGTAAGCAGCCATGCCGCTCTCAGAGGTTGTAGTGCAGCATCTACGAATAGCTGGCAGAGTGTGGGTGAATTATGCATTCCTTGTGGAAGTACTGTCCATTCAAAACGCTGAGATGGCCCTTCCCTGTTCAGAGCTGGCAGCGTAAAGGCAAATCGAGGTGTGTCATTCTCGTGGAGCTTGATTGTAAAGAAACAGTCCTTTAAATCAATAACAAGCAAGTGCCACCGATCTGGTAACATAGCAGAATTCGGCATCCCAGGCTGTAAGGCACCCATAGCCTGCATCTGATCATTCACAGCACATAGATCATGTAATAGATGGTACTTTCCAGATTTCTTCTTGATTACAAAAATTGGAGTATTCCAAGGACTTGTAGATAAACACAGATGCCCTTGTAGATATTGTTCACGAACCAGCTGATGGGCTTGTTCAAGACTTTCCTGTTTTAAAGGCCATTGCTCCACCCATATCGGAGCATCAGTTGTCCAACGGATGGGAATTGGGAAACTCCATGCAATGGCCCCATCTATAAAGGGAGCTCTGTTGTGAGGACCATTCCAAGCTGAGAAAGAACATCGCTGCCAATGAGGCATTGTACACTTTCAGGTAATAGAATGATTGAGATAGTACAGGTAATTCTTTTGCCCTCAATATGCAGAATCAACAAGGGAGATTTCTTTGCCAACATAACCCCTCCTACTCCAGACACTGCTGCATTACTAGTTAAGGTTGGCCATCCTTTGGGCCAGTGCGCTGCATCTACAGTGCTTGAATCTGCATCTGTGTCCAGTAATGCCATTAAAGGGATGTTCTTGCCTTGATATTCCAAGCGTACACTTCATTTAGGCCTTTGGCTAAGTCCACAGTCACTAAGGTTAGGCCTCCTGTGGAACCAAAACCCTTGTCTTTTCGCTGGACGGACACGTGTGGTGTTATGCCTTTACTCATCTGCGAAAGAAGAATCAATTGGGCTATGCACGATCCTTGTGGAATATGTAACGGTGGAATAACAGTCTGTACCATAATGTAGATTTTGCCTTGATAATCAGCATCCACTAGTCCAACCAAAACATTTAAGCCTTCCATACTGGCAGATGATCTGCCAATGAGTAAGGCTCCAGTAGCCTGGCCGTTGATAAGGATAGGTCCCATTATTCCAGTCGGAATTCGTTGAGGCTTATTGTTAACCAGGCTACAGTCTATTGTGGTTGCCAGGTCCAAGCCGAGGCTTCCTGTAGTTGCGGGTCGGAGTTGACGGCTGCCCCCTGCTGTGCAGGAAAAGCTGCTGATGTTGGAGCTGCTACTTGTGTCGTAGCGCAGCGCCCCCTCGCGCTGGGCCGTCCGTTTCCCGACTTCTGATTTCTGCAGCATGCCTTGTTGCTGTGCGAGTTAGTTTTACAGAAGCGGCACCATACTTGACTTACAGTGCACTCTCTGCGGATAAGGCCATAACCTCCACATCTAAAGCATGTGATTTGAGGTGGAGTTGAGCCTTCTGACTTTGTTGTAGCCATTTGCAAGGGTGCAAGAGCAGCCATTACTTGACTCTGAGTTGCGGCAGCCTGTTCTTTCAAGGCACTCCCTAATTCTTTTACTGCCTGCACCAGCATAGCTTGCGCGCCTACCGGGACATGAGACATTCGCTCTAAAGCTTCCTCTATTGTCCATGTACCTGGCAGTGTAACCAACACTGCTCATGTTGCCTGATTGGAATTTTGCAATGCACACTGCTTTAGCAAAGCCCCTCACATGTATTCTGGAACTCCTGCTTGCTCAATGGCTCCTGCCACTCTATCAATAAACAAACCGAATGGCTCTTCCCGACCCTGCTTAATACCCATGTAAGTTGGAATACCACCCAGAGCTTTCACCCTATTTAAGGCAGCTCTGGCTAATCGCATCGCCTCGCGCAGCTTGTCTGGACCTAACAATGCCTGAGCCTCTAGGTGTGAGAAATTTCCCAGTCCCATAAATTCCTGCAATGTCACACTGTATAATGGATCTCCTGGTTGGCGTTGAACATTAACATTCTCCTGACAAAACCCTTGCCAGTGAGCAGAGAATAACAGGCTTTGATGTTGTGTAAGGATCAATCTCATAATACTTCGAATATCTGCTGGCAATAAAATTTGAGTTCCCCATAGATAATCTAACATCTGTCGAGTTGGTTCCCCATGTACACCAAATTCACTAACTGTAGAACGTAATTGTGTTAGCCACTTCCAATCTAAAGCATTAATAGTCGCTTGTGTATTCTCTCCTACATAATTGTATACCACGGGACAGGCTACCTCAAGCAGTGCGTCTGCTGACTCGTGATCCCCAGCCATGAACGCTTCCCTAGTCAGGTGATTCCACACTTCCCTCCTCTCCTTAGCTAATTCTGATGCAAATTCTGATTTTTCTCCCGAAATAGATTCTGTGCCAACCCTCTCCTTTCCTGAGGCATTCGATAGTTCTGTGGACACGAGCGGAGCCGATGACGTTATGGCTGGCAACTCTGGTGCCCTTGTTAGGATAGTGTTAGTGGGGGGGGGGGGG